CTTCCTCTGGCAATAGATGGGAACTGATGAAGAAAGCCAAGGGACAGATATTATGCATTTATCATCACTATGTGGTGATATATTGTGTCCCCCAATATATTGTGTACCCTAATAAAGCTTATCTGAGGATCAGAGGAAAAAGCCACCCACTATATTAAACATAGAAGTCAGGCAATGGTAGCACATGCCTTTTATCCTAGCATTCAGGAGGCAGAGATCCATCAATATATCTGTTAGTTCAAGGCCACACTAGCATCAGAGGCAGGTGTGGTGACACATGCCTTTAATCCCAGCACTAACCATGTACAGACAGGAAGTGATGTAGCTGGGGGAAGAGAGGAAGTGAGATGGCAGAACAGAAAGGCATATATATAGGTGTGGATATACAGGAAGTCTCTTTGGAGGCTGAGGGTTAGTAAGTTGAGGTTGGTTATGGCTTGTCCTGTTCCTCTGATCTCTCAGTTTTAACCTCAACATCTGGCTCTGGGTTTGTTTGTTTTTTATTAATAAGACCATTTACCAATTCATCTTACAGTCTAAATTGGAGATCTCCATCAAATCCTTCCCTTCTGAGCTCAGGCAATCTTGTAGAAAAGGAAACAGAGTGTATGAATCAGAGGCGGTGAAGGATACCAGGAGAGCATGGCCCTCTGAATCAAGCAGGGTACATATAAGCTCACAGAGACTGAAGCAGGAAACACAAAGTCTACATGGGTCTGCACCAGGCCTTCCACATATATATTATAGCTATTACCTTAGTTTTTGTAGGACTCCTGACTGGGACAATTAGGTCTCTGGTTCTTGTGCCTGCTCTTGGGACTCTTCTTCCTGTTGGGTTGCCCTGTCCAATTTCCATATGATAGTTTTTGCTTCATCTTATTATATTTAATTTTGGCATGTTTGGCTTTCTCTTAGATGTCTGTTCTTTTCTAATGAAGAGAGAAAGGGAGTAGATCTGGAAGGGAAGAGAGATGGGGAGGAACTGGAGGGAGTTGAGGGAGGGGAAACTATTATAATCAAAGTATGTTGTATGAAAAAAGAATCTATTTTCAATGAAATTTTAAAAAATGCAAATAAATAAAGCAAAATGTCCCACAACGGGCCATATATTGAAAGACTGATTCTGAGGGTAGCACTGTTGGAAAGTTATGTAATTTTTTTTTCTCCAAACTTTATTTATTATGTATGTAGTGTTCTGTCTGCATATTTGCCTGCAAGCCAGAAGAGGGCACCAGATTTCATTACACATGGTTGTGAGCCACCATGTGGTTGCTGGGAATTCAACTCAGAACCTTAGGAAGAGCAGCCAGTGCTCTTAACCTCTGAGCCATTTCTCCAGCCTGGAAAGTTATGTAAATCTTAAAAGGTGAGTCCTACTAGTAGGTCCTTTAAGATTGAAGGACATGCCCTAGTTGTTCTCTTCCTTTCTCTGCAACATCTCCCCTATGAGGTGAATGATTCAGTGATGAGAATGTGCTCTTACCACTTAATCTTTATAGGCCTCAGTGTCAGTCTTGGGTAGAGACTGTATTCAAAATATATCTTTTATATATCAGCTGATTATCTCAATCACTCTAAGTTACCCTAATGGAGAGCCTTCCTCTCTCACTTTTCTCCCTCTGCCAAGTTGGAACTCTTGATTTCTGACTCTATCAGAAATGTGAGCAAACAGATTTTTGTTACGTGGGCAACCTTCTGTAGTTTGCTATGCCTTCCCAACTAGATTAATGGAGAGGTTTAGCCAATCAATGATACTGAATTTTATTCAAAATACACAGTTATATAATTTATCTGAGGTGTTTTACACAGCTCATCAAACTGAAAATCTCTAAATTTAATAATCACTTTTTTTTCTTTTGCTATATATAGCCTAAGCCGGATCCAACATGTGGTCCAAGCTGAACTTGAACTCAAGATCTTTTTACCTCAGTCTTCCAAATACTGAGATCACAGGCATGTTTCACCATACCAAACCACAGATTTTTGTTCATTCAAAACACTGATGATCACATTGTAGCTAATAGCAATACATCATTAGGAACCTCTTCAAATAACTGTACTTGAGCTTACCCTGCACGTTAACTGTAAGCACAACAGGGAGGGATGTGACAGAGCAGGCTGATTTCCTACAGTTCTGCCTATGGTACAAGGAGAAGGTGCAGACAAAGTGCACTGTGCTCAGTGTGTCCTCCGAGGAAAAACAACTTGTAAAGTTTCTAAGGCTCAGTTGCTAATATATAGTTCTCAGGAACTTTGGTTTTATTTCACAACTCTGCAAAATTATTTCTGAAACTGAAAGGAACGTTGGCAGTGGGATGGCTGAGATGGTAAAGACTTTTGCCACCACGTATGATCGGCTGTCCAATCTTCAGGACTCGTGAAGGAAGGAGATAACTGACTCTTGCATCTTTTTCAATTACCTTCACATGTCTGCTGCTGGACACAGGTTCACAGGGAACAAATCTTCCTGTTTAGCGAGGTAAATGAAGTAATTCTAAGCCTCTCTGAGGTAGAGTTCCATGATGAACAAGTGAAGTGATTAGAACCATGGCTTTAAGGGCACAGAAATAGAGAAAGAGGATGACAAGAAAGAATTCAATTTGGAGTTGTGAATTCATTTCTGAGATCAGTGTAAGGGCACATGTACATGTACATTTGTATGCAGGCAGGCATATATTTCCTAGTTTGTCTGTTGAATGGCCTAGATGCAGTGACAACACCCAAGATCCAGGTCTAAACTTTCAGTAACTTCCCTCTGGTTCCATGGAGAAATTGCTGGTCTTAAATCTTGGGATGCGTTTCATGCAAAGTTAATTAGTGTGTGCATGGGGGGGGGAGTGAGTGACACACATCCATATACAAACAGAAAAGAGAACTCACAGGGCACAGGAGCCAGCTGGAAGGAGTTATCTGCCAAATTGACAATAATTTGAGTACCAAAGTATGGGATATAAACCACTTGGAAAACAACAACGAAAACTTACAAACCTGCGACAACATTCAAATTTTGGTATGAACATAGCTGGATGAATGAACAGATGGGATGGGGAAAAGAATTCTGCAGGACTGACTGGTGCATGTGGAAGAAGATGCTACGGTTGGAAAGTCACCATTAGATCGGAGCAAGAAACATTAATATATGTTCATCCCTCAAGCAAGATGTTAATGTGTACTTAAAAGCCTCCCAGATATTGCTTATTAGGTGAGAAATTATACTATACATTGGAGAAACACAAGTGCACTATAAGCAGGTGGGGAAACCTAGAACCATCGGTGGAGATGGGTATGCACTCCAAATCCCATTCCCGTGACAACCACTAGTGCGACATTCTGACCAAGGATGGACAGCTTGGATCCAGTAAGAAAACCTGGAGTAAAGAACAAATTGTAACAAACACTGAGGCTATAAGACATGCAAAGCATCCAGAGTACACAAGGGACACAAGGCAGGGCAAGCAAACAGGACGGCAAGAAGTATGTAGCTTTTCCTTTATGCTACAATTATCCTTGCAAGTTTCCTGTGAGTTTGAAGTTGTTTCCATATGAAAAATTAAAAAATATTAAAAAGGACAGACATTGGCTCCTCACTCTAATACTGCCCCACCTAACACCTATCATTTCCTGTGGTATGTTGTTTAAGTCTATGGGGGGGGGGGGGGGGGCGGGGGCATTGGATATTAGAAAAAAAGCCACGTTGTTATAATTTATGAAGTAGTAAACCACACAGGGGTTTGGTGAAGCAGGTTCTTACATTATTTCTGGCAATGAAACAAAGATCGGTGAGGAGAACATATAGGATATACAAACCCAAGTTCAGCTCCCAGCTGATAGCTGTTATAACCTGTTTCTTCAACTATAAGGAAGTTGATTAAGTTATAGAACCCTTAGGAGAGCAAAGTAAATAAATGCATTTTCAACAGTACTTGACACAGAACACAGCAAGACAGTGAGTTCCTTCCATGCCTCTCCTCAGAAGCCACCTGGACACTGGCTCTTCTCATCGATTCAACTTAGGTGCTATAGAAGGACTTGTGGAAGTAACTGCCACTCATAATTGTCCCTTTTTATGGACATATGTTTCACTGCAATAGAAGCCACATGTAGTAGATGAAGACTTAGAAAGAGAGAAGACTTACAGAAACAAGGCTGGCAACTTCTATGAAGGAATGAAAATACAGGGGAGATGATAGTTTGGGTTAGAAAACCCCTGTACAAATAACACACTTGACTTTCTTCATATTTTCCAACAATAAATGATAGTTTTTGATGAGAATACTAGAAATTATCACTTATGTTTGTTTTAATAGTTCTGCACTTTTGAAGGATGACAAATCAAATTAGGAACACGTTCGTAGGTTATAAGAGTTCAATCAATTATCTATGTTTTTGGCTTCACTTGTTTTCACATACTGACTTATATTTATCAGGGTTATTTTATGTTATCAATGACAGTAATCTTTAAAAATTCATTTTCTAAAAATAGAAAAAAAAATAACTAAATTGTATTATAGCCAAAATATACTGTCAATAGATTTAGTTTAATATTTAATTTCTTTATAAAAGATGAACAAAACCTGATTTCCCTTTATTATAATTGAATATTCAAATCACTCAAAATGAATATTAGATACATAGTTTACTTATAACTTCTCTAGTGTGAAACAAATTATACATATTTAAAGAGTGTATATTATATTAACACTGATGAAATCTCAATACAACTATTGGAATAGTTTTTATTAATTGTGACTACTTTGGGGACAATGTGCAAAGTTTATTAGAGCCTAGCATACCAGAAGTAATTTCTTGGAGTCAAAATCTACAATGTCACACAGTTCAGAAAGCATCATTACAGTATAAAGACATTGTAGACTGCTCTCTCTTCTCAGAAGTCTCTAAAGATTAGAAACAGTGAAAAAATATCCAGTCTTTTATATGTAACAACTAACAGAACTACTGTAACTAACTACATTTTGCCCAAAGTGATTAAGGACAAAAAATAGGAATTCTTGTTGCTTTATTATTTGATAAACTGCTAGTAAGCTCCCATTAGAAGATCTTTAACATTAGACCAAGTTGCCTTGGTCTTCTGATCATATATACACACACATATATATATGCATCCTTCTTTTTCAAGTAAAGAAATGTTTAACAGATGTAAACTATTTATTGAATATTTGCCACCAAATATTGTTAAATACATTATCTTGCAGCATATCGCTTTCAAGTTAAAATGTCAGAAACAAACACCAATATTTACAGTTCTTGTAAGGAATGTTATATAATGACACATTAAGGCGTAAATTCTTTTGGCTTATAATTCTTAAAAGAATGATAATAGCAAAAGTGATGCAAAATCTTCAGTGTGAGATTATGATTAAGCTACATTTTACAAAAATATGGTGTAAGATGGCAATAATCCCATTCAACATCCTGGATTAGATCCCTTCAGGAGGGACTGATAATTTATACAGTCAAACTTTAAAATTTACAGATAAATGCAGTTTAATACTGCCACTGAGAAGTACATCTCTTAACATATACAACTTTCAGGCCACAGTTTTGAAGGTCTGAAGTATCAAGTTGGTTTGATGAATTAGCCGGTTGGCACTTATGAACACATTTATTGCCCTGTTAAAAAGAAAAACAACAAGCATTAATTTCATTCCCAAAATTCACTCTTGTAAATAAAATATTTATAGTTAATGTCTTATATCAACGGTAGCAATGAAATAAAGTAGGAAAAGGCAGGTTAGTACTGCGAATTCTAAACTTTCATTCCAGTTTGGGATTTAATGTTTTGGTATTTCAAACTGTAGTGTATAGGAATTACTGCCCCCTGGTGGTTCTGATTGGCAATAAGGTGTTGAAGGGTTGCTTCGCCAACATCCATTTATTTACAAGCCTAACAAATCACTAGTCAAAAAGGATTCATTCAGATTGGTCGTCAGCTATGATTTCATATACAAAATAAAATACAAATTTTAAAAATCCTATTAACAAAATAAAATCTGATATATTCAAAAGGATTCAGATGAGGTATCCAGTTAGCATGATACTAAGCCTCAAGATCTATAATGGCATAATAACATCTGGCATTGATGGGCATGAAAACCAGAAAAGTTAACCACTTCTAATCTTACCCACCCTAATCTATCTAAACCCTTGCCAAAAAAACCAAAACAACAACAACAACAACAAAACAAAAAACCAAGCGCCGGGCGGTGGTGGCGCACGCCTTTAATCCCAGCACTCGGGAGGCAGAGCCAGGCGGATCTCTGTGAGTTCGAGGCCAGCCTGGACTACCAAGTGAGTTCCAGGAAAGGCGCAAAGCTACACAGAGAAACCCTGTCTCGAAAAATCAAGAAAAAAAAAAAAAAAAAAAAAAAAAAAAAAAAAAAACAACCAAGCAATTGATTCCATATGAGATGGGACAAATACGAAAGCACGCTTTTAAAAGCGGCTTTACTAGGATGTTCTCCTGGAGACTACAGGGCAGAGCTGAGCCATTAGTCTCACTAGTGTGAGGCTAGTCCCATTTTGTAGTCAGTCCCTCTGTACCAGGGCTGCTGAAGTTTGGATCTTCATCTTAGGCATTTCTCACCCAGGCAGGGTTATGAATGACCCAGTTGAATCAATGAGAATTTGTATCCCTAGTGAAAGATGTTGAAAAAGAGCGTGCTCCACTAACAATTTCCATTTGGAGTAAAGAAGTACAAAATTCAAGGCACATATTTAAACAAAGTAAAATTGAATTTAAAGCTGAAGAGCGGGGAAACATAGCAAGCTTGAATAATCCATACATAAATAATTTTAGATTACTGAAATGTAAATCCCACTTTTCAATGTTCATTATACATGATTTATTAATTAAAATTAGAAATAATTATGTGATTATGAAAACTATACCTTTGGTTATTTGCATTTCATTTATTAAACTAAGCCACAAAAGATCATTTTCCTTAGACAACCAGAATTTGCATATGCAACATAAAACCATAATGTAACTATCTTTAATTTGTTATATAAACGAAAGTGTTTTAATTTGTCTGAACATTAAAATTGACCCTAAAATTTTTATTTCAAAGTAGTTTTATTTGAAAATATTATTATAATGAATATCATAAGGGTGTAATTTTATAAAGGATCTTAAAACTTCAAGGATATTTGCAGTGCCTGTTTAAAATATTTTTCTAATTTTATACATTATTAAAAATGTTTTCAGCAAGGTGTGGTGGCGCACACCTTTAATTTCAGCAGGCAGGTAGATCTCTGTGAGTTCAAGGCTAGACTGGTGTATAATGCCAAGGTTGTTGCACAGAGGAACTCTTACTTCCAAAATAAAAAATAAAACCAAAAAACCAAAACAAACAAACAAAAAAACCAAACAGAAGTCTTTTACAATACAATTTCTAGCATTTTACCTGAAGTACAGTCAACAACATATAAAGAAACCATACTACAGAAGTCATGACCCACACATCTGTTTAAATACTGAGTTTATACACAAAAAACAGTCTGTAGATCTGCATAGTGCTGTACACATCTTATGTAAACTTAAAACTAATGTCCCACTTACAACTCTCATATAGTTCTCTTAAATAGTTATTTGCTTTTGTCTTCTTTTCATTCAGTGTCTTGTCTCTTTAGTATACCTCTTATTCAGCAGAACAACATGGTAAGCCACTTTACCTTCCCTTTAGGATAATGGATCCCTGGCCTGGCAACACTCCAAAGCCACTTGGACAGGTTTACAAAACATCTAGACCATGCTCCTATGCAGGATAAGATCAGAATTCTCTCAAAGTGGAATTGTGGTAATGAGATTTTTAAAACTGACAAAGATGGTTTTAACATGTAGGCAGGATTGAGAATTATTGTATTAATCTCTGGACAGTACTTTCTCAAGGGACTGGCAGCTTTGACAACATCGAAAAAATCTGAGAAATTACTGGACCCCAATTCCAGACCCTCATGAGATGCTACTAAAGTTTAAGAACAATTATTTTAGGGGTTGGTACAAACCCTTAAGAATGGCCTTATAGCTCTAAATAGCAAAAACAAAACAAAGAAAAAAAAATCAAAAGATCAAAGGAAAGATCAGGAGACAGGTGAAGATTGGTCTCAAAATTTCTCAGTCTAGGTCTGAGTTGGGTTAGAATAGCAACTACTCACTCTACAGTCATCTGCCTTTGTTAAACCAGATGACTTCAGTATTAACAGTGTAAGACAAGAGCTTAACTTACATGGCTTGTCCTCTCTCCTCCCTTTTCCTCTCCCTCTCCCTCTCCCTCAAGTGGGTGCTCGAATTAAACTCGGCTTGTCAGGCCAGGCTGCAAGAGCTCTGACCCATGGAGTCCTCTTACTGGCACAATTTACATGGTTTTAATGCCCTACAAAAACACATACACTGAATTTTAGTAGAAAAGTATAAATGACAGTACTTACTTGCCATCTTTAAAATATGTCTTCAGAGTGTCACTGAAACTTTTGGAGTACTTTACAAATTCTTTCTTTTGGTGTTCAAGTGCCTACGTTTATGAAAAGAAAAATAAACTAAGTCAAAAGAATAGCACAAAAGACTAAATTAAAGGCCAAGGAGTATAATGAGTATGAGGTGAACTTTATACTTGGTAAGCCTTTTTAAAGAGGGTTTACTAACATAACCACAGAAGGTTTACATCTGAACATAAACTCAATGAGACAATTTCCAACAAGCAAACCCTTTAGTGTGCAGGTCGGAAAACACCTGCATATATGTTCCTATCTAGGGTGGCAACAACAAGCAACTAACTTACCCTGCGGTTCTGGTATTGATATTTCTTGAAGACATTATTCACTGTATCAAGTAGTTCTTTTATTGCACTAGCTATATCCCTGTTGAGAAAGGACAAAGAATCTTTAAAATCAGCTATAGGAAAAGCATGTATGTATGTATGTGTGTGTAATTATGAATCACATTATACCACCCCCACTTCCCTCATAGGCCAAGCTGGTCTCAGAGACGGTCCTCACTCTGCCTCCTGAGTGCTGGGACTAAAGTGTGTGCCAAATGCATGGCTGGCTCTTCTTCTTCTTTTTTTTTTTTTTAAGATAGGATCTCAAGTAATCAGGGCTAGCTTTGCACTTCCCATGTAACCAAGAATTCTCAACTTTCATGAGCCCCCCTGACCCACCTCCAGGGTGTAACCATTCCTAGTTTATGCAGTGCTGGGGATAGAATCCTCTTCATGAACGCTAGGTAAGCACTCTACCTACTGAGCCATACCTACTGCCAGACCCTCAAGTACACTTCATTTCCACACTTGATTCTCTCAATTCAAGACTTTAGCTCATTTTGGAGTAGTAATGACTTCTTTTTAAACTAAACATTATGGTGAATATATGTTAGTGCCTATATTTAAGGTATTGATATTAGGCTGGAACATAAAATATTACCTATTTGAGTAGAATTATTTTGACACAAAAATGTCACCTGGTCACTTGTTACCAGTACTGCTGCTAGTTTAATAGTAGCAGCCTAAACTATAAGGGCCTCTGTATTTTCAAACAGCTTCAATAGTCTCTACTGCTGTGATGGGCAGACCTATCACATTTAATAAAATGGTGTCACACAACCTTGCTATGTTTTTGAGAAAAGCTATAGCTGCAACCAATCAAAAACATTAAATCTCTATATACGTAAGGCTCAATAAATTCATACTGGAGCTAACTAAAATAGAATATAATTAAGAAGATAATAGCAATCACATAGATATGCAAATACAGCGTCACTTTTTTCACGTATTTTAATACTCTACCCAAAAAAGTAACTATCACACTGTTGTCATGTCTAATGAGGAAGATGTGAATATAGTGGAAATGGCTGGACAGGGCAGGGCAAATGAGCGGCTCAGAAACAGACTGTTAACTTACCGCAAAGGAACACAAGGAGGAAGAGGAGAAAGGGCTTTGCTACCGTTTACCCTAGATCTGCTTTTAAGAACTGGGAATCTGAAAGGTGGGCCTGATGAAAGGCTGCATCCCAGTCTCTAATACTAGTGCTCTAGTCTTTCCTCAGCACCCCAAAGAGCTATCACTAACAGCAAACTGTCAGCACAAGGCTATGGAATCAGCTGGGTGGCCAGAGAGCCTGGTTTTAGTTGCACTACAGGAAGTAGGAAGGAAAGAGTCTACACCATTCCTGTCTTTCAACTTCAACAAGCCCAGTTCAAAGAGAGGTGCCTCTCCGTTAGAGGGAGAGATCCACAAAGATGAAATAGTCCCAGCAAAGCCACAGTAAGACCTAGGGCTGAGCAAAGCCCCAGGAGCTTGTGGACTTCGCTACTAGAACAGCATCAGGCCACAAAGCTGATGGCTGCAAGCACTCTTACACCAGCTCTGCAATACAAGCAGGGAGGAAAAACAAATACACAGGGCAGCAAAGTTAGCACAGCTTTGTCTCACTGCCCAGGTCCAAGCCTATCATGAGACAAGTACTTAGAGACACTGAAGGCCCTGTATGAGAGAAAGAACACAAACAGCCTAGGACCAGCTCTGGCAATAGGCAGAGCTCTGTGCATCTGCATGTCATGTTTAGGCTGCCTGAGGAGTACTGTCCTCCTCCTGAGACTATATGGATCTTTGGGGCTAAGGCTCAGGTACAAGTCAATTTGGTATCAAGTGGCTGCCTCCTTAACCCATCCCCAAAACACAAGTAGTAATGCTAGTTGGTCAGTGCTCATAGTTGACTCTAGCGCTGTCTCAGCATCAAACTAGCTGGTAAGTACCACCAAGGGTTCAGTATACCTGAGACTGGGCAGACTCATGCATAACAAAACGTGCCATCGGGCCAGGTGGGCAATGGTCTTTTTCTACCAAGAATACCTCAATCCAAAGTATAGTGTGGTGACAGACTACAGCTGCTAAGACAGATGGTACACTGGGCAGTTTCCCAGGCTGCCCTGTCAGCAGAGATTCCAGAACAGCTCGAAGTTTCACGGAAACACAGACCCTAGTCTACCAGACTTCTAACCTAGGAGCATCACTGGTGCCTAGGACTTTCTTTGGTTGTACGTTAACCAAACAAGAGCCTTTGCATGGATGGGCCCTGGTCCTAACCCTCCAATGTGCTGTTCTTCATTGGCCATGGGGTTGGAATATGACAGATCGGTGGCATGGTGGCCACAGCTTGAAGACAGGACTCTAGGAGTGCTCCACTCACAGTGACTCCGTCTGAAGCAAGGACAACCATGTAATGTCAAACCTCAGGCCAAGGAGTGTAGACAAGGCCTTCAGCCTATCCGGAGCACAGTGGGAGACTTGGACATAGAGAATTTTCATTCTCTAATTTCTGAATAACAAAACTTAATATACCAACTGACAAAATTGCTACCAAATTCTCTTTAATTTATTAAAAAACAAACAAACAAACAACAAATTCTAAGAAGCAAGGTTACCTAAACACCAGATAAGAACACAAAGCACTGTAGCAAAATAATCAAAGATTAAGAAATGGACAAGAAACCTAAATAGGTATTTCTCAAAACACCAATATCCAACAGGTAGATGAAAAGACATTCAACACTACTAAGTAACAAAGAAACACAGTCAAAAGCATAATAAGGCACCCTAGGATAAGTGGCACTAATAAAAACACAAAGATAACAAATGCTGGCAAGGCTATAGAGAAAAGGAGTCACAAATACTGAATGTAAACCAAATAAGGAACTTCGGTAAAATAATTCTCATATAATTATGAAGAATTTGCAGCAGATGGGTTCTATTATAACTGACAGACGTCATGATACAGAGAGAAAGAAAGGAGAATCTGCAGTTATTTAGTAAGAAAATTTTGGTTAACATATTAATTGTAATGTAATGGTAGGCAATGGACATCAGATGAAATAAATGAACACAGAAAAAAAAAAAGAAGAAGAAGAAACCAATGAACTCATGGCTTTTCTTAGTGCATAAATCAGGTTTCGCCACTAGTCAACATCAATTGAAATATGTCAGATTTTTAATATAAATTAGTTCTACAACGATCTACATAAGTTCAAATGTAGACAAACAAAAGCATTCATTAATAAAAAAATGACAATGTTCTCGGACTAGAAGATTTTTTCCCCCTAATCAACTAGGTCGAGAAAAGGAGGAGCCCTTTCCTCCTTCCATGAGCTATAATGTGGAGTATACTCTGGGTTTTCTTTCAGTTCTCATAAGCATTACCTTCATTTCTGAGAGTCAAGAACTAAATAAGAAGCCAAGCAACTTGTAACACAGCTATGTCTTACAATGGAGAGTCAAAACCAAGTCGGCAAATATAACTAAAAATGCTTGCATACTTACTAGTCATCAGAAATATTTTCACTGTATAAATACAACCTACAGTATCATTTATATCCACATAATATTTCGTGCAGTTAAGTCATATGGGCTTAATATTGCTAAGATGTAGGAAAGAAAGGTAATTACTTTAAATATGAAAAGGTAAGGTATGTTAAAGAAAAAAACAGAACTGTAGCCATTTACACTATTCATACATGATTGTGACTTCTCATTTCAGAAATAATGTGCACATCTAAAAACTTACCAAAGCAAATAAATCCTCAAATGTATAAGAATGTATTTATTTGCACTGCCATTACTCGTTTTAATTGTGCTTAGTACATTCAAAAAGTGGAAGTGAAATACTGAAACATCCAAGCCTTTTTAAAAAACTATAGGCACACTCTCAAGTGTCTGAGCTAAAACTGGGTTGTTCATAATATAGCTTGCAACCTATTTCCTTGAAGCCACAGGAAGTTTAGGAAAGATGCTCATTGACTCTCTAGGGCAGTGGTTCTCTCTCAACCTTCCTCATGCTATAATACAGTTCCTCATGTTGTGGTGAGGAACATGTATAACCCCCAAGCGTATAATTATTTTGCTGCTCCTTCATAACTGTAATTTTGATACTATTATGAATAATATAAATATCTGATATAAAGGACATATGATATGTGACCCCCCCTGACAGGTTGAGAACCACTGCCCTAGGAAAAAAAGAAACTATCCAAGTAAGGGTTAAGGTTTCTGGTTCTACCTTTCTGTCTTGGTTTTCATTATATAGTCCTCTCTCTAATCTACTGGCATTCAATGGATAATATCTCATATTACATTTTATTCAAATAGAAGAAACTTGTCTGCACAAAGTTAGATCAACGTTATGAGTCTTGGAATGGAGAACAGTAAACAGGAATCTGACATCAAGCTACTAGGGTTCAAGCTGCTCTACAACCTTAGGAATTTAACTTATTTTTCTGTATCTCATTCTCATCTCTTTATTATTATTATTATTATTATTATTATTATTATTATTATTATTGAACAGGGTTTCTCTGTGTAGCTTTGGAGCTTTTCCTGTAACTCACTCCGTAGCCTAGGCTGGCCTTGAACTCACAGAGATCCGCTTGCCTCTGCCTCTCGAGTGCTGGGATTAAAGGTGTGCGCCACCACCACCCAGCTAGAGGAATAATTATTAATTAACATGGGAAAGTGCTTGAAATAGTGTTTAGAACATATGAGACTGCTGCTACTAAGACCTTGCTAATTCTAAAAGGCCATGTTTCAATGGTCTGAAGCAAAATCTGCTAAAAGTATGATTGTGAATATCGGTCTACATAAAGGCATAATGTAACTTTATCAACAAATATATAATTATCAAAAGCAACTGAAACCACATTAAGTCATTAGAAACTTAATAAAGAGATCATCTAAACAACTGAGTTTGAGATTACTAACAATAGCCATTAATGTGCATATGCATTTTACTAAAGTACAGTAAGTTAAAAATACAGCTCCCTACACAGGTGGCTATATTGTAAAGACCTTTTTATACCCCTGGTTCTCCAGCTGCTGTTGGGGAAGAGAGTCATTCAGGATTGTTTGTTTGTACATCTATCATCACAAACTACTTTTTATACTGGGACATACTCCTGTGCTTCTTTATCACTCAAAACATGTGCTCCAAACATTTGATATAGCATCTTGTAACATAAGTTATACAGAGTATTATTGAAAGACAAAGCTAGCATTTATCCCAAGTGAACTTTCTAACTGTGTAACTTTATGTTTTCAAGGGAGCATACAATGTAGCCTGTGCTACAGAGACGTGCTAATAAAACTAGGCTTCCCAGAAGTTTCTACTTATGGTTTCCCCAAAACACTGCACTGATTAGATATTAAAGATGGTATGTTGGTTAGTTTTTTGTCAACTTGACACAAGCTAGGGTCATCTGACAAGAGTGAACCTCAACTAAGAAAAAGTCTCCATAAGATTGGCCTGTGGGTATTTTCTTCATTGATGATTGATGTGTGTGAGCCCAGGCCACTGTGGTCAGTACCACTCTTGGACAGGTAGTCATGAGGTATATAACAAAGCTAAGCAAGCCAGTAAATTCCTCCATGGCTTCTGCTTCAGCTCCTGCCTAAAGGTTCCTGCCTTGGTTTTCCTCAATGGACTGTGACCCTGTAAGCAAAACACCCTTTCTTCCCCAAGCTGCATTTTTGGTCATGGTCTTTATCATAGCAAAAGAAACCTAAGTAACAAGTGGGCCACAAGCCTGAGGTCTAGTTCTCTAGAACTCCTTCTTTTGCTGTTTGCCTGCCGATCGGTCTCTTAGACCCTATTATTGAACCTACAATCCAAAAGAAGAGATTTAGAGGTTCAGTATGGTCAATATCGGAAAATGCTAGTCACATCTACATATTCACTTACTCCAATGACTTATGCCATTTCTGACATGAAAACCATATTGATCTTTATTGCTACCAATGTAGTGTCTGCATATGTTTTCATTTGAAATCCACAGGTTCCCATTACTTATATACTTTAAATTATCATGTTTTGTTCACTATTTCAAAAATCCATTCATTATTGCCATTTAAACATTCTAAAACACCAGGATATTCTGAAGTCATTATATTCAAAGATAATGGCATCCAAAAACTTCAGATTTTATTCCAAAATAGTATTTTAGTTAAATTTCATATCAAAATACAAAGAGACTTAAGGACTCTTGTTTTTAACAAGTCAAAGCAAAAACCTCACTCACTTGATTGTCTGTAGAAACCTCACTCTGTCATTGATCTCGTCTGGGATCTTACTGAGAATCTGTTTAAGTGCCCGTGCCTTTTCATTTAGATCCTGGAATTCTGGCTCTGGTCGTTCAATCATGTACTCTGATAAAACAAAAACACAATAAAAAATGTCATGTAACTCTCTGAAAAATTCAAGTCTAAGAGTTGATCAAAGGAGGATGGGAGTGGGAAGACGGCCATTTTGTTAGAAAAGACAAAGGAAGTTCAACTTGATCCAGTTTAAAAACAAAATACCAAAAAACCAAAAACCTAGGATTTCTCTGAAGTAAAACAGGCTAAGATCAAACATTTTTAATTTGAACTATTTGTAAAAACCTAATAAAATCTTAAAAACCACATCCATCCACTAATATAAAGGAGAGGAGGCTTTATCAAGCTCACGAGTCCTCTGATATTCTACTATATCATGAAACCTTAAATAATGAAATTCATGAAGAATGCACAGGTCATTTATGTACCAATGAGAGGGAAAGGCTGAGTTCAGTAACTTAAAACTCCACAATTGTGTTTAATAGATTACAATCTATTACATGAAACTTCCTTTAGTATTAAATATATGATGATTCATTATATTATATCTCCTACAGTATGGACTGTAATATGGTTTATTATATTAAACCCCTATAGTATGGAATATACTATGATTCATCATATTGAAAGCCATATAGTGTTGAATATACTATGGCTCATTATATTAAAACCCCTATAATATAGAATATACTGTGGATTGTTATATTAAAAGCACAAAGTTGTTTGTATTTTCAGTATATTCCTGGAATTTCAGTTGAACCCAACCTAAGGGCTGGGATCAGCGAACGGATTTTTGGAAAAGAAATTCAATCAGACTTGGCAGATGAACAGGCCAACTACCATGTTCACTGTCTAGCAGGAAGCTCACCAACTTACACCTTCAATGTCAGCTGGCCAAACTGGCAGCAAGTACTCAGTCTCAGGAAAGGAAAGACGTGCAGCCAGCTCAACAGAAGACATGTCCTCTATTAATAAATGTAGGGCACTACTATGTTTTTCTAAATATTGGAAAATGCTATCAATTTTAAATGAAGCTATCTATTTCTAATTGTTTTTATTAAAAAGCAAAAAAGCAAAAATAATGTTAAAAAGTGTTGTCCCCTCAAATCTGTGGTTGGAAAAAGAAATGCTACTAGTAGTAGCTTCAAATAAGACAAATGGCTCATCTCTTTCAAATGCAACACAACGTATTTCTCAAACTTTAATGAAATGAAATTGAAGCGCTATAATGATGGGGGAAAAACAAAGTATGCAGCATCAACACGTATCTCCCCTAACTAAATCTGACAAACACAGACAGTTAAAGGGCCTGCTTGTCTACTTATACAGACCATGTCCACTACTATCACAAGAAGCATGAAGAGATTAGGGGAGGGAAAAAGACTATCTGGTTGAATGGTAATGAGCTCAAGGAAGTGCTTCTCAAGAATGGAGAACTAAACACAACTCTCCTTTCTGGTACCTTCTACGTCGTCAGCTGCCATACGAAGAAGGGACTCTGTGAAGTTAACTTCTACACTTTTTTTCTCTAATATTTTCATAATGATGTCTTGTGTGAGGCCTGGATTTTCCTTTTCAGCCTGTAAAAAAAAGTTGTTTTCATGTAATCAGCATTTTAAAGATAAACTTTAATAGTTCAGAAATGACTCACTCATAACCAGAAAGCATTGGTGAAGCAGGTGCCACTGAGGGCACCATCTTCAGCTTTGTTCAGCTCACGCATCAGGAGCTCTTCGGTATATGTAAAGTCACAGAGGTACTCAGGATTCCTTGCTTCTCCATTATGTCCTCTTTCAATCAATTTAACAGTGACAGAAATACACACACACTCTCTCTGTCTCTGTCTCTCCGTAGTAGTCTTTTCATGAATTTAAAAACATTGAGAATTTTCAGCATACATAAAATTTCCTCGTAAGGATGAGCAATAATAACTCTTATCAAGTGTACTTTGAAGATATGCTGTATTAGAATTGCATGCAAGGAAAAACAAAAATTAGGGTAGTTTTTGCAGTTTTTAATAAAATCTATTTCTCTTACCCTACTTTTCCATACAATAATTTCCACTACCTATTTTATTTTCATAGCAAGAAATTTTGTTCAATGGCTTTTAAAATATCACTCTTTGAAAACTGATTTTTACTTATTACTATTCATGCATGTGTGTATGTGTAACGGGATGTCTATTGACCACAGTGCAAGGGCACATGTGGACAGGTCAGAGGACAGCTGGGGAGTTAGTTTTCTTCTTCCACCTTTGCCGGGGTTCAAGGGATTGAATGTCACTCATCAGGCTTGCTTGACATTAGCATTTTATTCATGCATGGAATCATCTCTGCAGCCCTCCACAATACCCCTGAAAGTTATATACAGACCATGAGAAATAAATGTGCACTCCTTCTTTGTGACCTGTACTTCTTAGGGCACCAAGTTGGAGCCAAACCAAGAGATTGAATGTAAAGGCAAATTTCACATTTCCATTTTCTCAGTCAATTTAGCTTATTCTGTTACTAAAAACGTTCCTAAGCACATTGAAAGTTTGTCTCCTTTAGGATGCCTGCCGATTAAATCCATATGATGATGGTTTTTCTCTTTTGCCCCAATTAACACGCAGAAACAGTTTCCACTCTTGATCCAATGGCACTCACTCTACTTCTTAGTTGTCAAGCACAATTAACCTCTCTGCCTTTGCTGTTTTATTCTGTTGTCACTGCAGTTAATTTTCTTCTGTTTCACCACTTTCTTAAAACACTCTTGTTCTTAATGAGGTCTCAGACAGGAAAACCTCAGAGATTGTGAACTAAAGTAGGAAAAGACAAAATATACACATGTACCTCAATGTTGGGATCCCTGTACCTGATGCCAAATGCTATGCTTATCACTTAGATAAACGATTAATGAAGCATTTAAATTCTGTTTTGTCAAGGTGAACTTTAAAAGAAAAATTGCCAAATATAATTAAATGCACTGTTAGAGTATTAGTTTGCTGAACTACCAAAAAATTGTACTTATTTGGTAACAGTTGTTTACCTTCCTTGTCTAAGGAGCATTAAGTCCACCTACATCATAATGAATTATCTCAGGGGCATGAGAGCATTTGCTGTGTGGTTGCAGGAAATATTAGCAGAAAAACATCTTGCTAAAAAGTTAAAGTGCTGAAAGAATTAAATGCTCTAAGTCTGCACACATAGTTTTAAATACTAGGTTGATCTGAAACAGCAAACTATCAGAAATGGAGAATGCAAAAGTCTCACAGAGGCCCTGAACTTTCTCAGTTCATAAAGCTCTTAGCACCAAATGCTGTTTATCAAGCTGTTTAGGTTGTACAAATAACTTGGGTAAATGGTATGTTCTAACAATTTGGCAACCCCGAAACTTAAATTCTATGCACACAACAAAAGAGACAGTATTTTATCTCATTGCTAATAAAAGCTATGTATTAATGGGGATGCTTGCATTTCCTGAGCACTGTAGTTTCTTAAATACTGGGCTTAGATTGGAACTACCATTCTTCTTTCCTCTTGCACACTGACTTTCTTGTGGTACTTGCTTTTTATTAGTTCCACAAAGATATGACATCACTGAAAGGAATGTAGATCAATCTAGTATGTTGACATCACGAACTATTTCAAGTTAAGTTCATGTAGTGTAAGCAGATGCTAAGTATCATAGTACTCACTGTTCTAAAATACTTCACAACCTCTTTGAGTTTGCAGAGTGCCTGGACACAACTTTTGGGAATCATATGTCTTAGAATTTTGGGCTAAAGTCCTGGCTAAACTACTTAGTTCAAAAGCTCAAACTGAACAAGTGCCTATGAAGCCTCTGTTCTTAGATCAGAGACACTATCTGCACTTGACAGATTTCAACCTTGAACTTGATGGGTACTCAACCTTTGTAAACACTCTAATGTGAGAAAAACATCCACTCCATAAAAGCATAGTTTTGTGGCCAGTGATTACCAATGCAGGAGACAGCACAACATGTCAGCAACTGCCAAGAGGGGCAGGGTAACAGGTAATCAAGAATTAATACCTTAATAGAAAACAGTCTGTGACATATTTTTATTTGGGGAAAACCTACTAATCTTTTCCTCCAAATAAAGACAGATAATACAATATGATTTAAAAAAAAAAAATCACTGAATAAGCCAAGAACTGAAAGTATGGATTCAAAAACTAGTCAGGCAATATTTCTTTGCCTTGTTCAAAAGGAAAGATTTTTTAAAATTTATTTTTATTATCTTTAATTACGTGTCTGCAGGTGGGTGTGTGCACGAGAGTGGAGATGCCTGAGTAGGCTAGAGGTATAGAATCTCCTGGAGCTGGATTATAGAAGGCTGTGGGCCTCCTGACACTGGTGTTGGGAACTGAATTCAGGTCCTCTGTAAGAGCAGCAAGTGTTTTTAACTCTGAGCCATCTCCCCAGTTTCTCAAAAGAGAAATTTAAAAATACAAAATCACCTTTTCTACAGATTCTTTAATTTGATTTGAAATCTAACTAGCTGTGATATTTAACAATAAATCACTGCTTTACTATGTGATACATGATGCTTTTAAATAATTTTCACTTTTTTTAAAATTAAGAATCATCACTATGAACTTGAAACAGAATAGTACTTGCCTGTAGTTTCTAATACTTGGAAGGTTGAGATCAAAAGGTCTTTTGAGGGCAGAAGTTCAAGGCTAGACCTGTGGCTAACAAAGGTATCCATGGACAAACCTAGATATGTCTATCTATCATAGTCACACAACTGTATTTCTGTCACACTGTCATGAGAAAATTCCTCAAGAATACATTGTTTTACCTATTTCTGAATATAACTAAAGATGACAGCTACTAAAAATTTGTTGATTCTTAATTTAAACATTAAAATATTTTGACTTAAAAATAAAAGCATAAGTTACTTTAGTTAATGATGGGAATTAACAAGTAAGCAAAATTAATCTGGGGGCAACCAAACATATATGTGAGTTGAGAAAGCAGGTAATAATTGAAAATAATATGCTTAATATGTACATTAAGTCTCCAGAGTACAGTTATACAATAGAAATATACCCTGAGAACAAATATGAAATCAATCATACAATTTTAAGTTTTCTAGTGGTTGTATACAGTGAAGTTGCTTTAGCAGTGTATCTAAAATGAATTCTTATTACTAAGCTAGCTTAGGCTCATTTTAATACAAAGTCACCAAGCACGTTTGTATTTTATACTCGGCACACATCTGTTTAAAGAAATCATACTTCTAAGAGCTCAACATGTTGCCAGCAATGATAAAATCAACAGCTCGGGTCTAAGGCTAAAAGAAGAACATCACTTGGAATGCTTTAAATATATTTTCAAAGTAAACGTAATCTGCCATATATGAGGTAGATTTTTATATCTCATAATTAAACAATATGAAGTATAACTAATTTACATTTTTATAAACACGTTTTTAAGAATAGAAAAAGGAACATAAAAATGTTCTTCTAAAACTGACCATCTGAAACACCATTTGTTGTGGTTTGCCTTTCCTGAGTGTTTAAAGCTTATACAGAATAGACCAAAGCGTAAGAACTATCTAAGTAGTCTAAAATAATTTTCACTAAAAGAAAACTAATGACAATCACATGGCATTTAGACTTACATATAACAATTTAGTAAATCTAAGAAGTTACTGTAGCTCACCTTAATGAAAGCGGCTCTCAGGGTCTGAGCTGCAGACAAGTTTACTCGTTCTAGCTACAATAAAAAAATTACAATTAGTACAAATGTTCTTGGAAAAAAACATTTATGAAGTTTCACTCTCCAGTAATGATAAATCTATCATACAATAAGCAAAAATGTTTTGATAAGTCATAATTCTTCAAACATTTAGAATTTGTACTCAAAACTGTAAATTTTTTTTTAAAATAAGATGTATTCTACCTTAAAGGTAGATTTCTGATACAGAATATATGATATACACATATGATACAGAATTCTAATTCCTAAGAGAAACTACAATATCAACTTGAATTCCTGAAAATAATGAGGATTAAGGGTAAATTCACTGCTCTGACTCGCTAGCTATAGTTCTGTGTGTACATACAACTAACAATCAAAGAATGAGCAACATAAGGAAACATGTGCTTAGATTCTATTTCATACTGCCTTCCTTTTTAATTACTTTAACTCAGTCAAGGATTAAGCTTAGTCTATTTTTTGCCAATCAGCAAATAGTGCTGACAAAAAGTAATAATACTCAAACTGAAGCTCAGATCATCAGAATTTCAGAGCTGTTTCCATCTGTTGTCTACTACTCCATCAGTAAGTAATTTTCTAAAATAGTAATCCAAAGATAACTGTATGTGCTGGAGAGAAGGCTGAGCAGTTAGGAATATTCACCGCTCTGTAGCGAACCCTGGTTCAACTCCCAGCACCCATATGATGGCTCATACCTAGCTATAGTTGCAGGGGATTTAACAACTCTTTCTGGCCTTTACAGGAACTGCACACATACATAATACACTTACATACATGCCGCAGCCAAAATGCTCATACACATTAAAGTAATTTTTTAAAAAGGTTAAATGCAATGAGTTTAATTTTACATCAAATGTGAGGCTAATAAGTCAATTTATTTAAATAGTAAACAATGCATTTAAGAAATGTATCAGTACAAATTATGTAGCACAGAACAAAGCAAAACATTCTGTCAAAAATAACAATTTATGCCAGGTGGTGGTGGCGCACACCTTTAATCCCAGCACTCGGGAGGCAGAGACAGGTGGATCTTTGTGAGTTCGAAACCAGCCTGGTCTACAGAGCGATATCCAGGAAAGGCACAAAGCTACACTGAGAAACCCTGTCTCGAAAAATCAAAAAAAAAAAAAAAAAAATTTATCTCCCAATAAACAATGTACCATTTAGCTTAGTATTTAATCTGGCTTCTACGGAGGCCTGTAAAATGCACTAACTAGGTAAAGGGAAGGTAAAGGAGCCCAGTAAACAGATATGGGAAAGAACAGACTGTAAATAGCTTTTAACACTGGCAAAGGTCTATCTCAACAATGAAAACAGTTCTACTTCCAATAGTTCATGTAATTATAGTGAATGCTGTTTATTACAGTGAATGCTGTTTAAAGTTAACAGTGCGGCTCATCAGATCTTAGGCTGCTAAGAAATCTGGGACAGGCAGACAGGACGGCTGTTTTTATACTGACAGCCCATGTTCTTTGGGTTTACAGCCCAGGGCCTTCTTCCGACCAGCCAAAGCTCTGAGTCAGATGTGTGCCTTCAAGCAGCAGCATTATTAAATAACTCAGTATCATCCTCACTGGAATGCAAGTAAAAGCCCAGAACAGCAAGTGCAGAGCTGGTAAAATGTATCCAAGATAGGAATTTCTAGACTAAATCTGCACATTTGTATTTTACAAAGACAACAGTCACAGGAAGGTCAGACATAGCTTAGTAAATCCAAGCCTGTAAACTGAAGCCCTTCAGCAAAGCTCTGTTGGGAGTCATTTTGTGGTTACTGTACACCCACATATCTGCACTGAACTTCATAGGTTTCTTACTCATCTGGCTTCCAATGCCCAAGAGTTGCCAGGTACACAGGCCCAAACCTCCTATTTGCAGAGAAGTTCCCATCTCAATGAACTTATCTAAATTGTTCTCAAATCTACAGAGGCTTGTATTGTACTTAGGCAGCTAGATTTTTACCCACCCTATAAAAAGTACTTCTTTTACCCCCTCTCAGTTGTGATTAAGATTTAACAAAACCATGTTCAACACACTATCCCTCTTCTCCTGACAAAGTTCTGAGAACATTCTAACAACAGCAGCCATTTCATTAGGCATGAACTAAGTGCCTATGGAGTCTCTTTCTACAGAATAATCTCTAATTTTCACAATAAATCTGTTGCTATCGTCATAATTTTACAGATGGAAACTCTGGTTGATACAAATTTCCAACTTTGTACTGAGACAAGGATCATGCCATAGGCTTGGCTCTCAGGCCTGTACACAAGCAGTCTTTATCATTTCCTACATCATTTTCTACACTGGAGTTGGGAACTGCATCTCTGTGAGAACTAAGACACCCGAGTTCTACCATGTTGAAGAAATCAATGTTAAAAGAGGATCCAGAGCCTTACTAACTACAAGTTTGAACTCAGTAGCTATGTGAAAAGCTGAAAAGTGGGACTGTTATCAGCTTAGTTTTCGGAGATTGTATCTGAATTGGTTTTAAAGTGGCCTGGCTTCTTAAAATCATCTTCACAAGCTCTACCACTCAAAGGTTTCTTCAGAGTTGGTGACACATGAGGATATGATGATTTCATGTTAGTCTCTAACAGAAAAAGAAGTTTGCAGTTTGTTTCTAATACTTATTACTGAGTGGAATCCTGAAAGCTGTTGGAGTTACAACTGTTGGCTAGAGTAGTTTCATAAAGAACCCTGACCTGTTTGCAGAGTTACTAGATTACTAGTAAATGATAGCTTATACACCACATAGTTGGACCTAATGGGGAGAAGATTACAGCTACACTTTGCATCGCTGGACACCAAAATAAGAAGTGGCATTGCTTGGGCCTCAGCCTCACTTTATGTCACTACTGGAAGGAGGACAAGAAAAGCATCCAAATTAGAGAAGAGAGTGCTGAAGACAGCTCATCTCCACTAGGAGGTGGAGCACCAGTGTCTGTTGAAGGATCCTAAGGAAGTGAGCATGGGCCTCTCAGCTCAACCCCACACTACCAACCGCCCCAGGGCTCCTTCCTCAGAATTGAGGATAGCTTTTCAACACTATTGTCAACTGCACTTGCCAAATTTATACTCAGGTTCACAAATAAAATACTTTATAAATTCAAGTGTAATCCCAGTTCTCAAGAGCTCATTTATTGCACTGATCCCTCTAGAAGTATCAGTTATTCCCACATTTTTCAAGTATCACATGGGTTTCCAAATCCATAGTTAGAAGGAAATAGAAAAAAAGAAAGAAAGAAAGAAATCAATTCAGCCTTTGTTCAAGTTTTCAACAGTATTGCATAAAATCTTGTAAGTGTGTGTGTGTGTGTGTGTGTGTGTGTGTGTGTGTGTGTGTGTTTCTCTAAAGGTCAAAAGAATTCGGTTACTTAGTTCTAAACTGCATATAAATCTACTGGCTTTCTTAACATCAGACAAGATCAGGTTTTCCCAGGGTGACCACCATCCTTACACGGACACCAAGTTTATTGATCCTATTTCTTATGCTAAACCTTAAACTAAACTGGGCACGTCACAAGGCTAAAACTCCAGGTGTATCTTGTAGGAATGTGGCGAGACAAGTGGAAAAGTCGGCATGTTAGCTGCCACAGAAAGCAAATGTCCTCAGCTCTGCTCTGTCCAGAAGACAAGAAAAAGCCCTCCTCTGTGTTCCCAAGAGAGTAGTTCCCGAATTTACCAAACTCTATGGCAAATCAGATAAGACGGGCCACATAAATAGTATAAAAACATCTGCTGACTCTGTTGGAAAGTATGCAAACATTCTATGCTGACCACAACTGTATCAAAAATATTGGATGAGATCTTCATAATTATAACACCATATGCCTAGCATTACTCTAAATACATTACATTAACTAATATATTTTCACAGGTTGTTGAAAATTAAATAAGTTATTCTTTATTCCAATTTGAGTCATCAGGAAATCCAGGCAAAAGTATGTCTTTTTTGCAGCACTGGACTAAGTGACACCCCAAACTAGAATCACCCCCATGACGAGACTACAGGGAAAAATCCACTCACTTCTCAGTTTGCCTGAATTCTTCCCCTCCCAACAAAAGAGAAAACAGAAGTAAAGAGGTTAAGCTAGAATAGACTCAGGTCACATTTGTTTACTAGAAAAAATGTAGAGCTACATCCATATCAGCAAAAACTGGCAGAAGGAGCTTACTGAGAAGCTTCTGAATAGAATATTATTCACAAGTATATTTTGAAGTTATCTATTGATAAATTTTTGCAGCCTAAAATTCCTATTTAGTTGCAAAACTTTATTTCACAAAATATGCCCCATAATGCATCAGAATGTATTTTATCTTAAACATATCTGTCCACATACACGTGGCTTATGTTTCCTGGAAGAAGGAACTCCTCTCCTCTCTTCTCCATATACAAAGACTCAGTAAGAACAATGCAGTTACAGGGAACCTGACCAAAGGCCTGTAGAGGTCTGCAGAAAGCAAGTTTTCCACAATGCAGTAAGGAGGAGGACTATTTCACAGTAAGTTTATGTGTACAATTTCTGGGACTCTGAACTCAGTGGCCGCTGGCTGAACAAGAAGTGTGCTCTTTCTCAGTTATCTTACAGCTGCGTTACTAAGTACAGACAGCACTCAGAATGCCTGCCATAAACAAGTGATTTGTAAACTTGAGCAACAGTATAAAAATCTCTAACATGAAGCTTGTCCCTCGAGATAAATGATACCTAGACTGTAGCTACTATGAATAAAATGTTAAGAAGGGAAGGAGGAGACTTCCTAATGCTTAGGATATGCTATGGGAAAGATCTGGAAAGCCACATCTATTTTCAGCATCCCCACTGTGGTACTATTCTCTGGAGAAGTAATTTGAAACTATTTTTATGTTTATCTAAACCTGTACAGTACAAAATAATAAAGCCAAAGTAAACTATAATTTCTCATTGGTACCCATACAGAAAATTCAGTTTTGAACTACAGTTAACTGTGACCTTAATTCATTAGGTACCTTATATTAATACACAGAAATGCTAAAGAATAACGCTAGCAGTGACTACAATGTCTTTTAACTCAACACTTCATTCATGAAGTCCCAATAATTCTATTCCTCCATCCAACTCTAGATTTCATCTGTCAAGAGGAAATTTAAATACCACTGCCATATCTAAAACAATAATTTAGAGCATGTTTTTGAATGCAGGACAGGAAGTGATTTTTTTTTTTTAAGTGCGCTACAAGGTTAGGCCATCGAGCTGAACCTCAGAATGAGACCTCAGCAATCAGGTGTAGCAATGCTAAGTCTGTCACAGGCAGCCACTTCATTTTCAAACCTTGCTCCTGAAAATTAATTCTTAGAACAACGATGAATCACTAAGTCGATGCCCGTGAGGCCACATGTGTTTTCAGATCTCACCTGGGGTACAGCACCATCTTTACTTATAAAATTACCAGCCTATTCACAGCAGCTTCCTTTTCTTGGAATTAAATTTCTCTTACATGTGAGTAAAATAAAGTTCTTATCAGCATTAATCCTAACAATTTGTATAACCCAAGCCCCATATTTCTGGGGCAAATTCAAGACTCATACACATTAGGAAGTTAGTTACCCCATGTTTCTAGAACAAAAGCCTTCTCTCATTCCTCTTCACTGACTGGAGGCTGAAACTGATGCTCTGTAAATGAAACCTGCCTCCTCTCAAACCGAGAGTCAAAATACTAGATTAATCCAGAAATTCTTCCTAACACTGCAGCAGACACTAAGCTGGGCACACAGACCTGGAAAGACAAAGCACCTATGAGTGAAATTATAAAAATAATTTTTGAGAGTGTAAGCATTTCAAACCCTAACTACTTCAACCCTAAGTTCCTTACCTAACCTATGGGCTTTCTCCTTGTGTCACTCCTGGTACAAAGTCAGCTAAGGAGCCTTAAACAGTCATGTTCCCCAGTGCATTCTGGAGAACAGGTACGATGCTTGTTTCTCTCTATCCTCATGCCCCGGCAGAGTACTAAGCAATAAGCAGTCAGATGTACCATAAAGAAGCACTTCCTTCTAATAATAGCTACTTGCAATGAAGTATCACAACAAAAAGATGGATCTAATTATTGGCTTGTTGAGAGCTGCCCCAGATGGGACTACCACAGAGGCAACTTTTAAGTTTTACAAGAGAGGCTTTCTCCTTAGTAAGAAAATACTCCTGAATTTTCTAACCTCTTGCACAGTTAGGTTTGGTTGTAAGGTTAGGCTCTTAAAAAACAGATGTACATGGAAGTCTTGTGTAGGACTTTTTTTTAGTAAAAGTTACACTAAGTAAGCAGAGCCCCAATGGAAACAAGACTTCACATCTTATCCCTTCTGGACAAGAACTTAGGACATGATGGAGCTTTGGTAGCTATCATGCATCCTGAGGAGACTATAACATGATAAAGCAGAAGATGAATTTCTGATGATACAGACTTATAACACTATTAGCCTTGAAATCCTCTGCCTCCAAAATCTTTTATGTAATGGAGATAGAAACTTTTACTTATACCATAATTTTGAATTTCTCCTGAAAGGCCTCTGAACCTACTTGGTAATGTTTGAAATTCTACAATATGCCTGGTTTGAAAAAAAGGATAATGAATCATTCTCTCCTGCTTCCAAGATTAAGGTTCATAAGTACATCAAGTGCATCAACCAAAATAATGTGAGGACAAAAAGACTGAGTCTTAGAATAACACTCTAAAATGCTTTGGCATTTTCGTAAGGGCTTCCAGCTATCTTAGCGACAAGAACATTGGTGATTCTGATGATTAACTGTATTGTGCAGCAAAAATAATTATTTATTAGTTTTTCTGTTGTTGTTTTTTTTTGCTAAAGCCACTCACTTTAGAGACAGAACTTGCAGAATTGATGTCTGTCTTATGTAAGCTTAAAAAAATAATTTCACTATTCAAGGTCTCCATTTAACATTACGAGAAGGAATTAACTAACATCAAAGGGACTTACCAGTCTAGAATTCTCTTCATATATTAGAATAATGTTAATTTAAACAAACAAAAAAAAAAAATAAGAAATGTACTTGTGTCGTGTACCAATCAAGCTACCAATGATTTCTTCAGATACAATGTAACAACATCTTCCAAATATCAATTTTTAAAATGGGTTTGGTCACCATGACCTTGTGCCTGCCATTCTGGCTATATACAATGTACTTGTTTCTACTCTTGTCTCTTAGATTCTAACACATATGTATCTTGTTTAGTGGGGCCTGTTCTGAACTCTACAAGAGAGCCCATCTACCAATTTCTCATTTTTTCCCCCTTACTTAATAGTACTTACTGCAATTTTCAACTTAGAATTGTATGTAATATCTATTTCCCCCACTAAGAATACCATATCTAGTTGTTTTTGTTTCTATATGCTTTTGTTTCTACAATTGTATGTATGGACTGGACCCAACAGCCAACACCAGTTCATACAAATGTCTGTCATGTGGGAGAACATAAGAGTAAATGAAGCAGGTACTAAGGAATTGCAGAAATCTTAAATGTGCACTCACCTCATTAAACACAGGATACATAACTGCATAGAGAGGCATAGAAACCATGGAAGTGGTCTCAGCTTCATTCTTCATCTCTTCCATTGTCATCCTCATTCAAAAGCCAACTACAGTAGAAAAAGCAATGCTAAATGCAAAGGAATCTTCATTCACTGCAGAATTTCTTCCTTTTCTATGTATGTATGATAAAGAATGGTACACACAAAAGAACAGCAATCTGGTGGAAGGGAAAGGAGAAAAAGGAATTTATACTAAAGGGAAACAACAAAATTCTAGAAACATTCCTTTTAAAATTAGAGTTGCTGGCTATCACACCCAGAAGCTATTTGTTAATACATGTTCCATGTGAAAACCACCCCAGTCAGCAAGATAGTTTGCTCTTCTTTACAGACTCAAGATTTAGAGACCTCTTGATGTGAAGCACCCTTTCTGTCCCCAGGTACCCAAGGAGCCTAGACGTTGACAAATGAATGTTTAGTACCTATAGACACAAGATGTAGTTCTTACTCATTAAACAGGTCTATACAAGATTCTTCCGAAGAACTCAATTGTCTGACAAAGAGCTAGAGTAGTGCTTCAAAAGCTCCTGTCAAATCTGAGTGCTTAGTATTCTACTGTATCTTTACCAGTGAAAGGGGCTCAATAGCTGCTAACAGCGAAGTCCTGGTTATGGCCATTTTTAAAAATGGAAGGAAAAAAAACAACCAAAAAGCTTCCTTTTACTGAGCTAAACTTTGTTCCCCGACTTTATAGGACACCACCAAAACCAATTCCTAAACTTTATAATACCGAGCAAGAGACAACCACTAACATAACATACTACTGTAGATTTATGAAGATTGCTTTGGCTCTAAACTGCATGAAGGGAAGACCAGAGAAGCAGAATTACAGAAAGGGGAAACTTACCAAATTTAATAAGTCAATGCAAGAGATAAATAGGGACCAGAGCTAAGCAAGAAGAAGCAGGTAAATACCAATGGTAGTCTTCCTGTTCCTATGTAACTACTTAATATGCTTCTAGGTGATCTACCTTCATGGTGGCACACGCATCTAATCCCAGCACTCTGGAGAGAAAGGAGGGTTTGCGAGTCAGAGGTCCACCTGTGCTTCAAAGCTAGTCTCACTTAATAAAACAGAACAACCAACTACACAAAACAAACTTGGAACCCAGGAGAACATAGACTAAATAGTAAGAATCTATGGCCCCAATGAAAAAGCATGTGAGAAACAGCAAAACAGGATCAGAGACAGACCTTCGAGAGCAACTGAATTTGATAATAGAGAGGATCACTTGTTAAATGTTTTATTGATTACCCATATGCATGATAGTAAATACACATCAGCTGATTAAAAAAAATACAATCTTTAATCATATAGCACGTCACAAAAGGAAAAGAGAACATGAACAAGTGTGAGTAGCAAAAGCAAAGCTGGCCTGTGTGCTTGTTGAAATGGGAGAAGGTGACAAGATCTGCATTACATATTGTTTCATGAAGGTGGCCAGACAGTTTAAAAGCCATGGAACATAGACAATGACTTTGAAATTAAGAGCACCCTTCAAAGAACAGCATACTAGTATCTTAGAAGCTTAGAGTGAGCTGATCAGAAGAAAGGTTATGTTTTTCCCAGTATTTCATTAAGAAGGAGATGGCAATGGGCAGAGCAGGATCAATTGGATCATTTTTACTTTACTCTTTAAGTATACATGTAAATATCACCTAAAACAGGAATTGACAGGTTCAGGGATCAGGGTAGGTGGCTAGAACCATTAAGAGATCCTGCTGACATCTCTACATACAATAAGCCTACTCAAACCTTATGCATATACTAGTCTTGGGCTTTTCTTGGTCTTGTATTTAGTAAGCAGTTTCTCCTCCAAAACTAACATCATACTATTATCAGATCTTTAACAACCTTTTAATATTGTTACTATGAAAAAATGCTCCTCCAAATACTTTACAACAGAACTGTTTTTAGAATATACGTTACAAACTGGACCTACTTATGGTTTCAATAGCATGAGATAGCCACCAATGGTTCCAGTAAGGCTTTTAAAATACTGAATTACTCTGTCAGATTTAATTAAGTTGAAATGTGCTTCTTTCATTCCTTCCAAATGATTTTTCATTTCAAATGGTTTCATGGACAACCTATAGACAGGCCAAGCCAACAAAAAGCTTGCTATATAAATAGCCAGGGCCCACTGAGCAGAGGCCTGAGGACCTTGTTTTGACAAGCTTCCTTCCTTGGACAGTTGCAAGTTTCAGCCATGCCATGGGAGATGAACAACACACTAAAGGGTACTTGTTTCTGGGTGAGAAATGGTCCTGCATGTACAGATAACTGAAGATCCCAGATTCTGAATCCCAAACCTGGAAGTGATCTCATCCACCTTCTACCTGTACTAAAAAACAAAAGTACCCAAAGGCTAACTAATGTGTTTGTTAGCTTTACTGTAATTGTAACTATTTGCCTGCATAAAGAATCAAAGAGGAACGATTTCTTTGGCTCAGTTTTGGAGGTTTCTGTCCACCCTGAAGATGGCACAGAGTAGCAGATGTGGCAGACAGGAAGCAGCAAGTGGCTCTCTCCTTTCTCCATTCCAGTAGATCTTGGTCCCTAGTTTATGGGACCATGCTACCCACATAAGCAGGTCTGGACAGATTTTCCCCTTAAAGTACTCTGGAAATGCTCATGGATGCAGTCCGTGGTGCTTCACTAAGCTTTTAGGTGCTCCTTAGTCCAATGAAGTTTACAGTCAATATAGACTACCACACTGCATGTTGATTTACCCATGGGCACAAGTACTTCCTAATAATAACATAAATCATAAAAACTTAAGTCAATAAGGTACTTGCTGTTGCCACCATGTACCTGAATTCAATCCCCATCACCCATATAAAAAGGCAGGCATTGGAGTGCAAGTTCATATACTTGTAATTCCAGAGTAGGGAAAATACAGCCAGCCAGATTCCTGGGGTTCACTGGCCAGCCTATCCTATCCAAGCCGAACAGTAAGCAATCCCCACATCCTAGTGAGACACTGTCTTAAAAAGCAAGGTGGAGGCTCCTGAAGAACAACACTATAAGCTGACCTCATGCCTACACACATCTACACACACACAGAGAGAGAGAGAGAGAATGTGTCAATACAGGTGAATCTATCAGGAATGGCTTTATGTTTATCTTTTTATTGTGCTGCTTCAGAGGAACTGTTCAGTTCAAAGTGAGCTTTGTAGGTGAATTAGTATGCATCCATAGAATAAATAAATAAAAATAAATAACAACAACACACACCACACACACACACACACACACACACACACACACACACACACCCCAAGGGCTGTAAATGTTAATGATACCCTTAGTTTTTGTTTAGAAATAAATGTTATGATGTAGGATTCTGTTACAAATGGAACCTTCTCGTTCATGTTCCTTACTCAAAATAGTACCATTAAATTCTAACATAAGAAAAATCAGCTTGAAATATCTTCCTGAGTTTAAAACAATCATCACTTGTTTAGAATGAACAGGCGTAAAATAATCATTGGCCACTTCCACTTCCAAATTTAGTCTTTAGGGTTCCTGCCCTGCCTGACCAACTCCAATCTGCTCATGTAAAAAGCTACAGTATCTCAGAGTTTCCTGAAACAGACTCACTTTACTCCATCTGGGGCATGAGAGATAATTCGAAAGCTGCTACAATAGACGAAGGGAATAAAGCAGTATTTCTTGGAATTGAAGTGAATATGGTTCTTCGTTGAAAAGGGATTCCTAAATAACCTAGACTTTCACTATTTAGCAAACAAAACAAAACAAACGAACAAACAAACAAAAAATGCACCTTTCTCTAGCATGCAGAGTCCATGTGCTATTTTCCAATTCATGTGTATTTCTTCTCTCCATAAGGACTTAAGAGATAGCATAGAGTGATGTTTGAATGAACACACTAAGGATGTAAGTAGACAATCTTTAAGTTCAGCCTTGCTAGTACCTTTTCAAGTACCAAGCTTAGCAAAATAAAAACAAACACAAAAATCTAACTAATCCTATTAAATTCCACACTTGGTCACATTTACCAGTTTTTACTTTTAGCTTCCCCAAGCTCTTCCTATTACATTAAACAAAGACAATATAACATTAGAAATTATAAGCAAAATCAAAATTTTACAGTAATTTGGACAAGAGTAAAATCAAAGGTTAAATAGTAAGATATTATAAACTCTAAAATCTTGTAAAATTTTGTAGCCTTGGCTGGAACTCATTATATCAAACAGCCTTGCATCTAGCTCAGAGATCTGCCTGTCTATGCCTCCTAAGTGCTGGGATTAAAAGGGTGTACCTCCATGTCCAGCATAATTACATGCTTAACAAGTTTCTCCAAGTAGAAGAATTCCCAATGCTATCTAACTTTGTTTTCCATATAAGCAAGACCAAAAAGGCCAATAAGAATTAGGAGAGAGTAAATCTTTCTCTTTAAAACAAAGTTTTAGCTCCCAAGTGTTGGGAGATATAAGCCATCACCAACTATTTCAGAGCTTATTAGGAAAACTCATTCCCAAGACTACTCACTTAGAATCCAGGTATCTATTCTTAACAGATGACCCAGACGAGTCTCAGGAAGAGGGCGGTCTGGGAATCACTGTTATGGAAAAAAAAAAAAAAAAGCAGTGGGTAAACAGAAAATTTAGCAGCTAGGACCAGCCTCAGGGATATAGGTAAAATTAAATCTGATGAGATATCTGGAAAGAATCTGCAAAGAGTATGTATCATGCTTTATGAAATTCCAATTGATCACCAGCTTCCCTTTTTCCATCAGAAGAAGACAGGTGGTGAAACTGTATCCTCTTTGAGGTCTTTGGCATCCTAAAATTGTTACATTTCTATTATTATATGTAATACAGGTCCAGAAAGTAAAACAACTCTCATCAGATCAGAAAAATTAATTGCAAGATCTAGTAAAGAGGTGCTCTCCAAGAGTGGGCTGACTGAAAGTTCCAAATAGCCACTTTCTTATTTTCTCTTCATAATTATCAAGAATCTTACTGGTCAGGCTCCTAGAGAAACCAGTTCCCCCAAGCTACATGCCTAGAACTGTATAGATCACACTACAGCCATTTTACAAAGTAGAAAAGCTCTAATTTGTTCTCACGACCTTTACAACTTTTAAGATGTGTCAAGAGATACAGCCACTTCCAAGTAAGAGCTAACATTTCCTAAAAGGTTTAGAACGAGGAAGACTGAGGAATACTGTAAGCAGAAAATTCTACTTAGATAAAAATGAGCTTCAAATCTTCAGAATACACTTAGATAACCAAGCTGTTATGGGATGCTGCATTTAGGAATATATACAAATACCTTGCTAATAGCAAGAAATATATAGCACTCTGACACTTTACTGCTGTTATGCATACTTATGAATGTCCATACATATGTATCTCATAATATCAAATAGACAGCTTATACAGGAAGCTACAGGGGGGAAGTGAAATGGGCTCAAATTGTTTTGGTTAAATCGTGTTGTGTGTGAACAAATCACTTCACCTCTATCTATTATATTCTTTGTTAAGATAATTAAGTCCTATACTTAAAAGAGATGGAGTTAAGCCGGGTGGTGGGAGTGCACACCTTTAATCCCAGCACTCGGGAGGCAGAGGCAGGCGGATCTCTGTGAGTTCAAGGCCAGCCTGGACTACAAAGTGAGTTCCAGGAAAGGCGCAAAGCTACACAGAGAAACCCTGTCTCGAAAAACCAAAAAAAAAAAAAAAAAAAAAGAGATGGAGTTAAAAATGAGGTAGTTTATAAACCAAACTATAACATCTTTACATTAAATTTTGAGTTACTAAGCATTATATTTTAGGTCTTTTAAATAATTTTCCCAGAAAAGTATATACATACCATAATGATGTCTCACTGCATTGGAAAGTCCAGTTTGTTTAATCAAATTTTGAAGGGCACTCCTTTGTTGAACTACATTTTCCAGAAATTTCTGAGCTGAAAATGCACCTTACTCTAGCATGGTACAGAGTCCATGTGAGAGACACTTTTTCCTCTTTCAAATTTGAGTATCTCAAATATGATGTTACAGTAAAAGAAAGCTAACAGAGAACTGGTACTCAAAATGGAGCTATTGACGATAGCTACCTGAGACAATGTGAAGGAGTCTTTGGAATCGGTTTTGCAAGAAGGGTTGGAAAAGTTCAGAGGAACAGTGGGACAAACTGTCATATAGCATGGAAGGATGTAAATGTAATCATGCAAAGTGAAGGGTGACTATGCCAGATCAGAAAACACAGATGTAGAAAGGAGGTCAGGCTGATGAGGGTCCCAATGAAAATGAAGACTTGACTAGCAATTGGGCTAAAAGCTATGCTTGTCACACCATGGGGTGGGGGGTGCATTTTGTCCACTCTCTGGCACTTTGATGAAGACCAAGCTTAAACATAAATAGGCAAGCTTATCTAGAAGAGGAAATCTCAGAGCTGTAACAAAGCAAGTCAGGAAATGACACAGATATTACCAGCAGGCAAACTTTATAATGACAATCATAAGCAAAAGGAACAGAATGGAAATTTGAAAACTTCCTAACCTGGCCAAAGAAAGAGCATGTGTAAGGATGCAGCTAGAGGGTGAGGTAGCTAGGCTAGTAGGGATAACAAAATACAACCGACAGTTTGCATTACGAGAGTAGGATGGTGCCTCAGGCACCTCCCAAATGTGCAAAACCAAGGTTCAGAGACTTAGGAGAGCAAATATTTCAGACACCCAATCAGAATCTTGGGAGAAGAGCACCCTGCCAGACCTTGTCTGCCCAGGGAATGGTTTTCCTAGGATTCACTTTCCTTTTCTGCCAAGAGGAAACACAAAGGCAGCTTCTGTGGTTCAGGTAGGCCCTGGTACAGCCTGGGCTGGTGGCAAACACTGCCATTTTCCACCTGATGCTGAGTTTCCAGGAATGCAGAGTGAAGTAGTTAAATCACACACGTTTTCATCCGCATTTCAAAGGAAGCCTGGAAGGCCAGCTAGTACACAGCGCAGTCGCAGTCCTGGGGGGTTACCCGAAACGGGCAACTGTGGGGCTGAAGCCTACAGACCATGGTAAGGAAGAACTGACACGCAATGCTCATCAGGTAAAACTACAGGAAGCATGAGAGCCACTCCGAGTGAGTAACCAAGTGTAAAGTAACTGTAAACAAAGCTGAAAAGTAGGGTTGTCCGAGCTCTTGGAAGCCCACATTCTGCCAGTGTATCCTAGGTACAGATGTAGAGCTTTAGAATTTGATGTTTGCCTTGCTGGCTTTCCCAGGTGACTAGAGCTGAACACTGCTTCCAGTCTCCAGTTTCTCCCTTCTGGAATGGATATAGGCACTTTCTGCCTGTTCCACCTTTGTATTTTAGAAGGATAAGGCTTTCTTTTTTATTTTTACAGGGGCTTGCAGCTGAGTTACACTGACCACTCAGTTAACTCTAGACTTGAACTGAGGAGAAATGTCAGAACAATTAAGACTCCGGGACTCTTAGAGACTGACTGAATATGCATTTTAAATCACAACATGGACATAAGCCTTGACAGGACAGGAGCTGAATGCTGTCATATGGAACTTCGATGTCTCTCAGACCCTCATGTGTCGAAGGCTTGGTTTCCATGGAGGTGATATTAGGAGTTGGTAGAAACTTTACGAAGTGGAACTAGTCCAAAGAACTTAGGTCAAAGGTGTTACGGCCCTGAATTTTTAAAGTAGGCCTCTTTCTTGTTCTTTGTTCCCTCTTGTGTGAATGATCTTATTCCTACCTTGATGGGCTGGCTCTATCTCCAAAGCACTGGGGCCAAGTGACCATGAACTACAGCCAAGTTGTTTGTTATAGAGAAAGGAAGTTAACAGATTTCAAAATTAATATTGCCTATAAGACAACAGGGCCAGAAGTGCTGCCGACAGACCTGAGAACATCAGGAGCACTGATACCCAAGAACATGCGTCAATGCTAACAGCAGCTAACTTTCAGGTTTGAGGTGAAGAGAGGACAATGTATGGGGCATGGCATAGTAATTAATATTAGCTATCATGATCACGTGCAGAAATGCACACGCAATTCAGGATGAATTCTTACCTCTTCAGGGTATCAAGGACCCTGAAAACAAAAAAGCTGGTAAAGATATGGTTTTAAACCTCTTTAAGACAGCAGAACTTCTGTTTAAAAATAAAATCATCTCCCCTCTCCCCATATGTGTGTGTGAAACAAAACATTATTCTTTCATTTAATAAATTAAGCACTTAAAACTTGCTAGCCCCTCCCTCTCACAGAAGCCATGACACATCTATCTCTCCTCAAAATTCAAGTCACTATTCTATAGAATAACTAATATAACTAGCACTAACATAAGCACTATAAATGAAACATAAGTGAGTGGCCATAATAGTAAGGTTTAAGAGAGCATAGGATACCTAGAACCAAACTTTTCTGTAACTCGGTACCAGATCTCAATCTCTAACCAGTAACTTCCTTTGCTATAGATGTTGATACATTTAAAAAAGTTAACTGCTAAAGTTCTAAAACTTTAAATTAAAAATAACCATTATAGACACCAAGCCCAGTCTTCAGCTTTCACAACTCAGAAACAGAATGGTGGTTGATAGTGTTAGCCAAATACATTAATGTGCTTCCAAGGCCTCTTGTATTTGGTGTTTATAAACAGTACTATGCTACCCTGCCTCACTCTGCGTCACCTCTGGCTCAATCTGTACAGAGCAAGAGCTGTGAACTCCCATAAAACTGTCAGGAGACTGAAGTAGGCAGGAATGTAGTTAAGATCTGACTTTGTGAATTTCTAATTTGGTAACTCTGACTCACCTTAAAGTCCATTATTGTACTGTGGCAAATGTATATCCTTACATATTTGGAGGAATTACTGACCAATATAAAAATCTATGAAGTGATAAGAAGCATGTTTTTTCTACAGTATATAGCAGGAGATAAATGTTTAGGTTTGGAAGAAGGATATAGTTTAAATTTTTGCTCAGCTGGGTTATACTATTTAAATTCTTTAATAACTTTCTAAGCTCACTGAGAAATGAATGTATATACTGATTGAAGTTTTCACTTTACATGGTTGTTTGAAGTATTAAGAACCAACAAACATCTAATTCACATGGTTAGAGATGCTATTTCATCAAAGTTCCATGAGCCTGAGATGGCTTCAGGTTGAAAGGAGGCTGAGACAAAGCAGATTAGAATGCAAACTCTGACTTGTAGGACATGTGAATTAGTGTCTCCTTCAATTCTGCCACCTCCAGTCACCTTTGCTGGCCTCATCTTCACCCTGCCTACCCAGCACAGTGGCGATCTAATGCTGGCTATCACAACGTCATACCACTTATACACAACCATTTTCCAAACTTTTCCCTTTCATTTGTCAAAGGACAGTCAAAAGTTACTTGGCCATCAAAATTACATAACCCACAGGAAATTACTCTCAGTTTAAAAGTACAAAAAGAATTTGGTCACCAAAGGAACTTTAAGACTATTTAAAGCAATGGCCTTAAAACTACTTTTATTTTTAGGGCTGGTGAGATGGTTCAGGGATTAAGAGCATGAAGGACCCTGGGTTCAATTCCCAGCACTCACATGGTGGTTAACAACCAT